TATATATATATATACACACACACACATATATGGAAGAAAGATGAGGCTTTCTACTCCTACAAAGATTTAAAGCCTTAGAAACCTCATACAGGGTCACAATGAATTGGCACTAACTCAACATCAACAACAACAACAGACATATATGAAGCTCTGGTACTGTAGTGGTTACAATTTGAAACTACCACCACTCCATGGGAGAAAGATGAGGCTTACTGCTCCTGTAAAAATTAACAGCCTCAGAAACCCTATGTAGGGTCACTGTGAGTCAGAACTGACTGACTCCACGGCACATAACCACCACCACCATATATATATATGATTCAACAATCTCCCACCATCAGGTTTTTGCGCACCTCAACCTTCCAGGCCCTAGACACTAGGTTCTCTAGCAGGTAACAAGAGACTAGACTATGAGAGAAGAGGACTATGTGATGAGAAGGAAAAATGGACTCACGTCTTCATTGGTTGTCTGGTTGAGAGCCACGAGGAAAGTGTGAAATCCAGTCAGCCCCACAACAGACCAGAGTGTGAAGAAGCAAATGAGTACTTCTAGGACAGTGAGTGATGTTAAGGAATGTCGAAGGAACCACACCAGAATACTCAATGTCTCCACCCATATTGGTCACACCATTTTCCCCTCTTGGAACAGATATCAGAAATGCTCAAGTACCCATATGTAACAACAGGTGAATTTGAAACTCACGGGATGTGTCCTTTATGAAAAGCAAACAATCCCTGGTACATTCACTAGCACTTCTAGTGGAATGAAGTGTGTGCTGATTTATTCAACTTAAACTTATTGTGGGGGAGTTTAGGATCAAGTCAAAGTGAAATATTATTGGCTATCAGTACCAATGGAAAACCCATAGCAAACCCATCAAAATGTAAACTTCATAAATAAATAAATAAGAAATGGAGGGTGGGGGCAAGATGTGATTTATCTGGATCTCTTTTTCAGAATCACAGCTGGTGTACAAAATAAGATTCCCTTGTAATAGAAAGGTGGTGCTTACAGAAAGGTACATTAAGAGGTGTACTGAGGCAAAGCTCAGCCCATTAAAGGAGGCAGGGCTGAGCCAGAGAGCAGAAAGACTTGCCATGGAGGCAATGGAGAAGGGCGTAAGGGAAAGGCCTCCCTTGAAGCCCTGGCCATCTTCCAATCTGGTTTCTACCATGAAGATTACACTATTTATCTTGGACTTTGGCATTGTTTGATTTTTGAAAAATTGGAGGGTTGGAGAGCTGCATAGAGAAAGCCTGTTGAAAAGTCATTGAAGAGGTTGTCACAGGGACTCCCTGCACGGAGAGGATATGTTCCAGGAGTTTCTTTCAACGTCTCCAGGAAGCCAATTTTCAAAGATTCTGTGAGATTGAGAGGAGGAACAGAGAGAAAGATTAGTGACTTTAGGCAAAAACATGTACTCCCCTAGTGCCTACTCACTCCCTTCCCTTTTGATCCCTGGTGAAGCTTTGGTAGGAGATAAGCTCTCACTGAGTCAAGACAGTCACCTCCAACCTGGCCATTTCAGGACTAGAGTGTTCACATGTCCAATGCAGGACCAGGCACTGGCCCAGAGAGTCGGACAGAAACCAAGCAATGGTCCCCTTCCCTCTACCCTAGTCTCTAACTATGGACATGGGAAAACCAAAAGGAAACCAGTTGCCATTAGGGCAATTTCGACTCATGGCAACCCATGAGTTGCAGAGCGAAATGGCTCCATCAGGTTTTCGGTGGAAGTGGACCACCCGGCCTTTCTTCCAGGCATCTCTGGGTACATCTGAATATCCATCTTTTCGGTTAGTAGCTGAGCCCTCACCAGGGACTTGAAGGAGATATACACAGATGAGATAAATTTTTAAATATCTAAGAAAAACCCTTTCTTATCATCAATCTGTATCCCTCCCTTGCTCAAAATCCAGCTCAAAACCCATCTCTTCCCTGGATTCTTTCATGATTAAGGCCATTCTTTTAACTCCATATCCCACGCCTTTAGGTTGTTATGTGTAGGTATACGTGCATGCACATGTGTGTGCGCAAAGAGATCTGCTTTTCTATCTCCCAAAGTACTGAAAGATAAGTTTCTGAAAGATATATTTCTCTGCTATAACCCCTTCTGCCACCTGGAGTCCTGGTGTGGCGCTGTAGGATAAGCACTGGACTGCTAGCTATGAGGTTGGTGATTCAAAGCCACCAGCAGGTTCTCGGAAACCTGAGTCAGAACTTGATGGCATTTAACAATACCAACATCTGGTGTGGTGCTGTAGGATAAGCACTGGACTGCTAGCTACAAGATAGGAGGTTCAAACTCACCAGTCACTCCTTGGAAACCTTATACAGAGTCACTAAGAGTCAGAACCGACTTGATAGCACTTAACAACAACCATTTAGAACAGTACAGGTCTTGTAGGGCAGAATAGAAGGTACACATAACAAAATGGGAGCACTGGAGCCTCTACAGAATAAACACTGGATTGCTAATCACAAGGTCAATAGTTTTAGTCTACCAGCTGCTCCACAAGAGAAAGATGAGGCTTTCTGCTCCATAAAGATTTACAGATTCAGAAATCCTTTAGAGGGTCGCTATGAGTCAGAACAAACTCAAGGGTACCTAACAACAATGGCCAAAATACATTCCTAACCTTTGGGATCAGCTTAGAAATGCCCAGTGATTATGATCCTAGTTACTCAGCACAGTCCTAGAGAGTAGGCCAACACACTAAGCCAATGCTTACTATGTGAGCTGAGATAATAGTGCTCATTCTAATTGGTCCAAAGGAGCATTCACAATGGTAAAGTCTCAGTGGGTCATCCTCAAGTCTTTTCCCACTCTACCCCCACTCCATACTCACTGAGGGCCACGTAGACGATGTTGAAGGCGAAGACGTAGATTGTGAGGAGGGAGAGAGAAAGGATGAAGAGGTAGAAGTAGCGGTAGTTCCTCTTTCCAACACAATTCCCCACCCAGGGGCAGTGATGGTCGAAGCGCTCTGTGGAAGAAACAGTCCAGCGCTAAAGAACAAATAACAATCCCACTACACACATAATAACTAAGTCAAATACCCCTGGGATCACTGTCTATGTCAATGCTAGACAGTACTGACTTCTATTTTGCATTTTTTCAAAATGTTTTCGTATCCATCCATCTTCTTGGATTCTTGTAGTCATCCTGAAAGTTGAGCAAAAGGTAATATTCTTGTTCCCATTTTACAGATGAAACAACTAAGGCACTGGATGGTCAAGTTAGCAGCAGAGCCAGTGCTTTTCCAAATACAAATTTTAGCAGCATAAGTTCAGGAAGAATAAACAGGTGAAAACAGCAAAAAAGGAAATCTGAAAAATGAGGGCTGGGATTTTTCTTAAACTCCACTTACTAAAAATACTATAGAACAGCAATACTTAAAATGGTATGGTATGGTTCAGTGGAATGGAAAGAGCTTAGAAACAGACTCTTGAACATATATGAACTTTAAGGAGGACATTACAAAATCAGTTGTAAAAGGAATTATTATTCTAAAAACAATTCAGGAAAATGACTATTTTGGGGAAAAATTAGGTTGGATTCTTTTAGTCATACTGTTTATCAAAATTAATTCCAGATGAATTAAAAAGTTAAATACAAAAATAAGGTGAAACCATAAAACAACTATAAAGAATAGCTACATATTTATTCTTTAATGAAAAAAAAAAAACAAACCAACATAGATGAAAAATGAAAAAACCGATTTGACTCCAATAATTTTTTTAAAAAATTGACGTTAAAAAATACTATAAGGAAAATTAAACTGCGAAAAAACAAAAAAACAGGAATCTATACAAATGTTGTATTTTGCTATATAAGAAGCCCTTAGAAATCAATAAGACAAATAATCTCTTAAGAAAATATTCATAAGGCAAAAACAATAAATATCACATGGATTCCTGATGTGGTTCTGTAGGATAAACACTGGACTGATAACCAAAAGTTTGGCAGTTCAAACCCATCAGTTGCTCCTTGGAAGCAACTTAACAACAGCACTTAATAACAACAACATCTCTATATGCATCAAGACATCTGGAAGATGTTGCCAACATGTTAATAGAATTATTTCTGAATGTTGGGGGGGAAATACTAAGTTTTACTTATACTTTCTGTACTTCCTTCCCATATTTTCTACAGCGAACTGGTACTATTTAATGAATAAAAATAAACAAAAAATAAAAATTTTCATTTTTAAAAAACAATGAGCAGTGTACTGATAAAAATAAATAAATAAATAAGGCAGTAAGAATTGTATGTCTCCTGGTTGTTGAAGTTCCGTCAACTCAATTCCGACTCATAGCAACCCTGTACAGGGTTTCCCATCAATGGCTGTTGAGTTTCAACTGACTGCCTTGCAGTTAGTAGTCCAGTGCTTATCCTACGATGCCACATCTAGCCTTACTTTAAGCCAACTTGCCAGATGAAAACATGACAACATACAGATGTATAGAAACGCATATTTTTAAAGTATTTTAAATCACATTTTCACTGATAATGCAAGTAGTATATGTTCATCACAGAAAACTTTAAAGAAATATAAAGAAAATGAAGGAAACAGCATTTAAAATTCCACAGCCTATAGGAGTCCTGGTGTGGCGCTATAAGATAAGAACTGGACTGCTAACCACAAGTCAGTGGTTCAACACTTTACAGGGTTGCTATAAGCAGGAACTGACTCGACGACATTTAACAGCAACAACAACAAATAGATAACTAACTTTGAGCATTCTGGTGTATTTCCTTGATTTCTTTACACGTACTTGTAATTTTTTTTGACATGTAACCAAGATCATACTGCAAATGTAACCTACCTTCGATTTTGTTTCACTTTGTCTTCTGGTCTGAGCTTTCCCTATAAAATTCTATTATATGAATGACGCACAAGTGATTTGACCACTCGGCTATTGGTGGACCACTGATTTCTTGCTACTTTTTTTTACTCATAACAATCATGAGGTAAATTATTCCATACTTCAATCTTTGAAAGCATCTCTGATTATTTTCTTGGGGGTAGATTCCTAGAAAGGGAACCAGTGGTACTAAAGAGTATACTTGTTTTAAGACTTCTGAAGAATTTTATTAGGTTGCTTTTCAAATTTTTTCCCCCCAATTTACACTTCTATCAGTGTAGGACTAAACATACTGCAATTAAGTCAATTCCAACTCATAGTGACCCAATATAGAGTTTTCAAGACTGTAAATCTTTGTGGGAACAGACAGCTTCATCATTCTCCTGTGGAATAGCTAGTAGGTTTGAACCATCAAACTTCTGGTTAGTAGCCCAAAGCCTACCCCACAGCACCATCAGGACTCCACAGTGTAGGACTGCTGTTGTTAAAGTACTGTTGAGTCTGTTCTGCCTCATAGCGACCCTATTTAGGGTTTCCAAGATTTTAAATCTTCTCAGGAGTATGAAACATCATCTTTCTTACATGGAGTGGCTGGCAGATTTGAACTGTGGAGTATGTCCACTGCTTATCGTTTGGAGCCACCACACTCCTAGTACAGGACTAGGATTATCCACTGCTTATCGTTTGGAGCCACCACACTCCTAGTACAGGACTAGGATTATCAATCTCTTCTTGCTAATAAGTTTGTTTTTTTTTTTTCCTTTACTAGGTGGATACATAAACTAATGGTACATCCATGCAATGGAGTATTATGCAGCAATACAAAGAAAGGAGCTCCTAAGCTACAAGGCATGGAAGAACCTTAAATGCATAATGTTAAATGAAATAAACCAGGAGCAGGGGCAAGGGATGACTAGGTGGAATACAGGGCACTTTTTGGGCAGTGAAACTATTCTCTGTGATACTGCAATGGTGGGTACATGTCATTAGGCATTTGTTAAAATCCACTTGCACAACACAGTAAACCTGAATGGGCCTTGTTGTTATTAAGTGCCATAGAGATGATTTCAACTCATAGTGACCCTGTATAGGGTTTCTGCAGAGAGTCTGGCAGGTTTGAACTGCCAACTTTGTGGTTCAAAGTCCTGTGCTGATCCTACAGTGCTACACCTAATAATGGTAGTGGTGATGTGGTGGCAATGTGCCGTGGAGTCAGTTCCAACTCATAGCGACCCTGTATAGGGTTTCCAAGGCTATAGATCTTTACAGGAGCAGAAAGCCTCATCTTTCTCCCATGGAACAGCTAGTAGTTTCAAACTGCTGACCTTGAGGTTAGCAGCCCGATTCATAACCACTATGCTACCAGAGCTCCTTACACTTAATAATATCAATGGGTCATTAACTGGAGTAAATGTAGCACAGGAATGCAAGCTGTTAATAGGCGTGGTACAATAAATCACCTTTATGTGGCCTTTTGTAGCCATCCTGTATAGGGTTTTCGAGGAACAGCTAGTAGGTTTAAACCGCCTACCTTATGGTTTGCAGTCCAGTGCTTATCCTATAGCGCCACATCAGGAATCCTTTCTAGCCATGGTCTTATTGTTACCAATAAATGACTGTTTGGGGCTGGGCAAATTAAGTATAAGGAACACTTGCATGGAATGGACAGTCTTGTTAATATAAATAATGTACGTGGAACCCTTCCAGGGGATTGGTTCATTCATGGTCTTGTCAGGGAGGGCACACCTTGAATTGAAAAGGAGCTTACTATATAACCAGCCTCTCTGACAGATTTTAGAGAGAGAAATGGAGAAAAAGACAAGGAGCTGTAATACTGAAGACAGCAAGAGATGACACGGCAGCAGCAAGAGTGACAGAAACGCAAGACGGCAGCAACAAGGAGACCAGTATGAGACGGCTGCAGTGCAGTTCACTGACCCATGGAGCTAAGTGCTGTAACACCTGCCCAAACACTGTCTGGAGGCATCAGGGCCTGGAGAGCAGGGCCCAGAAGCAGCAGCCAAGAAGGATGTGTCCTGATCAAAGAACTGTATCCTGTGTTGTTCAGATACTTCCAAGTTGATCCTGATCTCAAGTTGTAACTTGTCACTTCCCTAGTAGACCACAATTGTTAACACTTCGTGAGTTCTGTGAGACAATTTGGTGAGTTACTGAACCCAAAGATGGGAGGAAGAGTACTAGGGGTTGGGGTAGGGTAGGGGGAATAGCTGGTATTAGATATGATGGAGAAGTTGAGCATTTTGGACATGTTTTACCTCTACTTCATAGGAAGCACTCTGGGCTGATTCTAATAAAAGAAATTATTCACTGAATAGGAGAAATAAGAGATCTGGTGGAACACATGGTTAAGTGCTTGTCTGCTAACCTACTGGTGGCTCCGTGGGAGAAAGATCTGGTGAATTGTTTCCACCAAGATTGCACCTAGTACCTAACAACAATAGGAGAAATAATGTGCAGGAGGGAGGGGAGTCTATCAGAATTCTAAACTTTCTGCACAATTTTCCCAAAAACTAAAACTGCTCCCCCCAAAATAAAGTGTATTACAAAATCCTGTTTTAATTTGCATTTCTTTATTAGAAGAGATGAACCTTTTTGTTTTGTTTTTTCATGTTAGATAGCCAACTGTATTTTCCTATTTTTTAAACTCTTTTCCTGGTTTATAAATTTCTACTAGAGTAGTAATGGTTTCTAAAAAAAATTAATTTGTATGGCTTTTTTATACTTAAGAATATTAACCCAAAGAGGAAATTCTTTAAAAAACCTCCACATTAGATCTTCTAGAAATACCAAGTACCCTCGCTCTTTTGAAGTGGGGTTCAACTTATAAAAATCCTATCGACATATAGCTTTTTACCATGAAGCAAATTAGATCTCCCCAATCTTTGCCTATAGACTTGGGGAGTAAGAAGGAAGTAATGTGCTCTAACACTGTATGTGGCACATACAAAGAATGTTAGACATCTGCCTGTTGACATTTCATATTGTTGTTAGGGGCCATCAAGTCAGCTCTGACTCATAGTGACCTTATGCACAACAGATCAAAACATTGCTGATATCACTGTGCCAATTCATCTCATTGGGGGGTCTACCTCTTTTT